TAATTCCTTGGACTAGCAAAAACGGAAAAGTGTCCTTCGACATTGAACTACATACTCGTATTTGGGACATCTTCGTTAGAATCCCATTAGAACCTTCGACCATCAATCTCTGTCCCCGGCCGGGTGTCCCCAGGGGCAAAATAAGAGACTTTTATTTCCGTAGACATTTTAATGAATACTACGAATAAAAATAATTCAAATATTTTCCTGCAATCACTGAGTCATAGACCTTTTTGTCTCTTATGCTTTTTGTAAACTCTAAATGAAACCTGTTTTGAGAAAAATAAATACTTTCTATTTTATTCTATTCTATTCATTTTTAGGGAAACATTTTAAATGAAAATCACTTTTCATGTATTTCAGTGTGCTTGTGACAATTTGGCGAAAAATTGTAAAATGAATTATGATAATTCCCTCCCTTATTTTATAAATTACGAGTATATGCCATGTGCATAACATACTGTTTCCTTTAAAAATTCTAAAAAAAGAAATGCTACACTAGAGCTATACTTTGGGCTCTCTCAAAACTATTCCTTATGACCCTGTTATCAAGGTGGAATATGACTAAACCAATACTATAGAAATTCATTCTTGGCATCTAAACAAACAGCGTAACGTAAACAAACACTTGTTCGAATACAAATTTGGCTGCAAGAATACGTGATCAGTGAGTTTACATTAGGTGTGTGCTTTTTACTGCGTAAAAAAGTATGGTAATGTACAGCGCCCATAGCCGTTACTTTCAAGAACTAAAATCTTCATAGATTTATTGACGTACTCATCATCATCATCATCTCAGCCATAGGACGTCCACTGCTGAACAAAGGCCTCCCCCAATGCTTTCCGTGTTTCCCGGTTGGTAGCGGCCTGCGTCCAGCGCTTTCCTGCTACCTTTATGATGTCGTCGGTCCACCTTGCACGTCCCACGCTACGCACTCGCTAGCAAACATACCTAACTATGAGTATCATGGTAAACACACTGCGCAGAAAGGTGTCTAACTATACATAGTAATGGCGGTACATTCCCTGAATTATTTATATCGTTGCCGTGTCAAACGCATCGCTGCGCTTCGACAATGCGTCCTAGAAACAGCTGTTTTTCCACTGTACTGTTATTATCATCATGTTATGTAACTTCCATCTGGATGTTTGAAAAGTACGAATAGTAATTATATATCTTGAGCTGTAAAAAAACGCGACTCTCCCAAAGATTTTTTATTGCATTGGTAACTCTATAACGTCGTCAGGTAGAGAACTTGATGGACATCATATTGATTTCAAAATTACTAAAACAGTTTTTTTTTATCCACAACGAGAAACGGCTTGCATCTCACACGATGGAAAGTGGTGATTAGGCCGAAGGTGGAAGCGAGGTTCACTTGGAATCCTCAACTACAGATTTTAGACATTGCTGTTTCAGGGCTAGAATAAAGGGTTTTTAAAGAAGTTTTATCTAGGAATTAGTATAAGATAATGCTGTTTCGGTTTTCGACTTTAACAGTAAAAAAAATGTTAAACAATTATTTTTTCTCTACTTTAGGTTTTTCATGGCCAAGTATGCGTGCAACGTTTAGACACTTGCGCAAGTCTGATGACAGTTTAAATCGCTGTAGTTTTTTGCGTTTAGCGCAAACATTACGTCCATGTCAGAAAAGCAATCCGGACAGTCAGTGACAAAAGTTTTAAAAAATCAATAAATAAAAATGTAGGTATAAAATACCTATAATAGGTGATCTATAATTTTGTATAAGCTATTTATTTTTTGCAATGCTGATCAACAGTGCTTAATTTTTATTATATCAAATCATAAATTCAATGAAATATGTTACAAGTAATGTAAGTATTTTAAAATATTTCTCATTTTCCACCTTTTAAAGCATCACAAACAAGCAAAAGATCTCAGGCAGTTTGTCTTACCTACCTATGTTTTTTCAATTCAAATCTATGTAAGTTTAGCAGAACGTTCTTCAGTCTTTCTTTGATATTTCATCACAGAGCCCATAAAAGAAAGTAGTTTTTTATTTATTTACCGACCATCATAACATTTTCTGTTCCCAAGTATCTCTCCAGCCAGAGAAACTGAGAAACTGTTGATATAGTGTTATTTCAACAATAACACAATGCAAACATTATTTTGTAGGCGTACTAATGGCACTTACGACATATACTCGGATTCATACAAAAAAATCAAACAAATGGATGTACAGTCAACCGCATAAAAGTTTTCATTTTCCACCTCTAACCCACTGTAATAAAGCGCACTTTTCTTGCATGTTTTCGCGGACGACTGTTCATTTTCATGGTTACTATGTAATGAATACTAATTTCGTGGGCTCAAAAATACCCGAACGATGCGTTGCAAAGTAATTTAGGTTTTGGATGTAGGTATCTACAGTCGTCAACACATGGGACTAGGTACTTGTTTGTCAAAATAGTTAGCACCTTATATCATTACAAGATGCCATGGTGCCATAAAGAAGAAAAAAAGATGCCATGGTGGTGTGCTTGATGTAGAGAGTAGAGACGATGACAGAAAGCTATGGGCATCATAGAATCTATATATATAAAAATGAAACCCATTTCGCGTTGTCACGGCATCACGTGTGAACGGCTGAACCGATTTCGATAATTCTTTTTTTTACGGAAAAAAATATTAAGAAAATCTCTACGCTAAGGCGGTACGAAGTTCGCCGGGTCAGCTAGTTATTTAAATAAATATTTCTTTGCAATCATCTATGGTACGATGGAGACTCCATCGTACCACTCCATCATGGAGTATTGTGAAATAAGATCATCATCATCACCAATTGCAAGCCTCTGCTGGACGTAGTTCTCCCCAAGGAAGGCCAAAAAGCACAACCTTATTGTGATTACCGTCGCCCATAGACACCCGCAGACCCATGGGCGTTACAGGTGCGTTGCCGGCCTTTAAGGTGAATATTATTAAGAAGTTTGTTACAATCAGCCACTACGTACTAGGTGCTACATCCTCTTGAGTCTATTGGATGTGCTAGTCTATAAGCTGAAGTATCCTACACTACTCTTAGGGACCCTCTTTCGTAAAATCTACTAATGCTGAAGTTCGTTTATCAGCCATTATAAGCAATTTGAATTCATTACTATCTCGTGTGACTAATTAGCCTAATTAATGATAATCATCGACTGAGATTGGCTTTCTGGGTTAGCTATTTATAGAATTGTTATTGAACTATCAATCAGCCACAGCATGCACAGCGAGAGGATGTGTGCAGTTATGAACCTCCGAAGTAGCGTCCTGCTTACATAACTTGAGGGAAGTGCAATGGCCTGACACCCGTATTCACAAACGATGCTTGCTTAAGTGAAGCAGCAAATCGAATGCACAGCGTTGAATAGAGCTCTGTGATTGGTTCGTGTGTGACCCTGTGCGTCCATGCGCACTGTAAAACCTCGTAGTAAAGTTTGTGAATACGGGCGTATGTGTGTTATAAGCAAGGAATTAAACCATAATCTTGGTAGGTAATTTATGTTACAATAGCTCTTACCAGCGTTGCTATTTCTTGGACAGAAAAAGTGAAAGTTTCCCAAAAGTGCGTTAAGCACAAAATAAATTAATCATTTCGCCAACTTATGAAATTAAATTATTAATTCACCAATCCAACCTTCATCACCTAGGTGTTTATTTTGCCCCATGTTTCTTTCGCTTTAAATAATAATTGCATGGATTAAGATTTTATAGAGACCTATAAATATTATGACTTTATAAAGAGGTAATGCCTGCTAGTGAACCAAAGATAATTATCTAATGCTCGATAACTAATCAGTTGACTTACTTACGGTGCTAATTTCATAGGAATGGGTTTGCACTACTTTTAACTTCGAAGAAGTAAATTAAAAGATACAATTCTTATGCAATATCCAGGATATGGCAACTGGACTGGTACATTAGGTACGTAATTATTGTGCAGAATGTCTTGGTAATAACTTTTAAAAATTAATTTTTAATAGAATTTAGGAAAAAATTAAATAATGAAAATTCAAAGATTCGTTCGTTCGTTCGTTTCAGCCAAATGACGTCCACTGCTGGACGGGACTATTCCCACCTCTCGTTCCCACCACTGCAACTCCTGTGTAACCAGGATCTACAGCTTGACCGCCACAAAAACCCAACCAATGAAGGTCAACTTTGTCCCGGGGAAAGTTAAACTGTCATTGGACCCGCAACGAAATTAATCAGAAGAACATAGGAGGAGTTCGAAATTAAGGTTCGACTTCCCTCCATTGTAAAGCGGATGACAGGTGACAAACAAAGGTTCCACTGCTGGAAAAAGACCTCCCCCAAAGATTTCCACAACGACCGGTCCTGCGCTGCCCGCATCCAGGCTCTTCCCGCGACCTTCACCAGATCGTCGTCCACCTAGTGGGAGGCATGCCCACGCTATGTCTTCCGGCCCGCGGTCGCCACTCGAAAACTTTTCTGCCCCAACGGCCATCGTCTCTACGAGCTATGTGCCCCGCCCACTGCCATTGATTTTAGCAATTCTGCGAGCTATCTCGGTCACTTTGGTTCTCTTCCGGATGCGCATCTCCTAATTTCTGATTCGATCACGTAGGGAAACTTCGAGCATAGCCCCCTCCATCGCCCAAAGAATCTAAATAAATAGAAACACTATATTAAGTATTTTAATTATTCTACACCCTTTGGGATAGATTGGAATCAAGAATGCTTATAAATATACTAACCAGCGCAAGATCGGTCTTTGTACAAATCCTTGAGGCCTTCGTCAGCAGCGGCCGTCTTTTGTTTGAACGACCGAACTTTTGTATTTACGATTTTATCATCATCATCATTTTCAGCCATGGGATGTCCACTGCTGAACATACGATTCTCGTTCAAATGATGTTGTTTTTCAATCAGACTGTTCTCTCATGTTTCAGCAAGAGGAGAATGCCAACCACCGCGCATGGACGACGCATTTCTGCTGCGATTCCTGCGCGCGCGACGCTCTGTGCCCGCGCGGGCGCACAGACTGGTTAGTGACACCATATTAATATTCTCAGTCAAAGAACATTCCCTACTGGAAAAAGCCTAGGCCTCCACAATTATTTCCACAACGACTGGCCCTCACTGCCCCCATCCAGGAGCTTCCCTTCACCAGATTGACGATCCACTGAGGCAGTCACCACTCGAGAACTTTATGCCCCACCCACTGCCACTTAAGTCTGGCAGTTTTGCGGGCTATATCGGTTACTTTGGTTTCCCTGCAGATATCCTCAATTCTGATTCTGATATCTTCAAGAAAACTCAGAGCATAGCACGCTCCATCACCCTCGCATCACTTTTAATTACTAGTATGGATGAATCTTAAGCTTCAACCACACCAACGCGTGCAGGTCGCCATCGCTGACAATGACAGGTCGCGCGACCCATGACTGTCCGCGCGACCTGTCATTGGCCTATGATCGCACCGTGATCGCCGCCGATGGCGATCTGCACGCTTTGGTCTGGTTGAAGCATTATAAAAAAGCAATTCAAATTCTTACCTGTTCAACAGCTGGTCCGCTACTGCACCTTCCGGGAACAGCATCCGCACTTATGGCGCGAGGTGGACTGGTTCAGCCTGACGAGACTGGGCTGCGTCTACGAGGGAGTGCTCTTTGACAGACCTGATGTTGGCAGACTCATCATCTGCAGGCTAGGTGAGTAGCTGGCATTCACCGCTGTTTTTGTGGTGATGGTGAATCTTCTGATACTCACATACAGGTCTTTTTTGTCGCGGAGGAAATGCTTTTCGCACCGTCACCGCTGTCGGGGGACAGGGTGGTGTGTGGGACTCCCGGCGCCCTGAAAGGGCGCGTCCTGAAAAGGACGGAGTATTACTAAAACCTCAGCGGCGTTATGTCATCGCCCGAGTGGGGGTGTCGCGAGTATCCGGCCGTAGCCTTAGACTTCCGCGAAAACTGAAATACAGGTCTATGCTAACTTACTTAACTCCTTTGACTATAATCCATTATAGTCTTTTTCACGTAAGATGATCCGTATGACACTTCAAGGTTATCCATATTACGCATAATACATATGCAGAATATTTTCGAAAAAAATATTTGTATTTGATTAGCAATGTAATAAAAAAAATTAACTACTTGTCTTAAAATATGTAGTAAAATCTGAGTCTACTGATTATATTTTAATTAAAAACGATGTAAAAATATTTTTTATTTAATGTACGCAATGTGTGAAACGGAATAGATTTAGTGCTGGGGTATTTCTTGTATAATAAAATCGATTATTTCCGCGGTTCATTAATCGATTGTGCAGTGAATACTCAGTTATTAAAAACATCACGAAAATCAACTATATTTTTCGATTATTGACTTTAATAAACGCATTGAAAAGAAATTAATAGTTTTTAATTTAAAGAAACAGAACCAGTACTTTTTAGGAATCGTTTTTTTGAACACGAACCATGAAATTTGAATATTATCAATAAAAAAATAATACAATAATATTTGTAATTAAAAAAAACATGTTTTTTGTTAAATAACACCTATACAAAATAATTCTCTAAAAGTAGGTTTTACTAACTCTTCGAAAAAAATCGATAGATAAATCGCTATGGTTTAGTTATGTGACATCTCTAAATCTTTCAAACTCGAAACGTCATACGGATCATCTTAGGTGAAAAAGACTATAGACTATAATGGATTTCTCAGAATTCAGAGTTTGTTTATACGGCTGGAGGATACTACCGCTTTGTCAGAAAAGAAATATTCCATACCTTGTAGGGCACTCTAAGTTTGGAAAAGATTAGTCATTAAGATTAGATTAGGTCGCGCGACCTATCATAATTGCTTTTGATCGCGCCGGCGATGGCGATCTGCACGCGCTGATATGGTTGAAGCTTTAGTTATTAGAAGAAGAAAGAGTCCGCACGTGTTTTGTTTTTGTTTTTGTCTAAGATAATTCACTGCTGCACCTTTCTGAATTTCCTACTTGTATTCCAGGCCAATGGGACCCCGACAAGGTTCCAGTAGACGACCTAATCCGCGGCTGTCTACTACTGCTGGAAGTAGGCATTATGCAGCCGAAGCTGCAAGTACTGGGAGGAACGGCGCTGATCGACTGCGAGGGCATTACTATGAAACACTTCAGGCAACTCTCGCCCGCCATCGCTCTGCAGGCCATGAACGTTATGGGCGTAAGTTCTGTGTCTTGTAGGCTACCTAATCCACGGCTGCTTGCTACTGCTAAAGTAATACTGTATAAAAAATATTTTAGAGATGAACAATCTCAACCAAAGGATGTCCACAAATGTTGGGTGAGCCCAGGGTTTCCACAAAAAACGGTTCAGTGCTGCCCGCATCTAGGCGCTTCCCGCGACCCTCACCAGGTCGTCGATCCACCTATTGAAACTTTTCCACCCCCATAGCCCTCAGAATTGCCAAACTGAAGTACTAAGTGCCACTTCAGTACTTCAGTTTGGCAATTCTGAGGGCTATGTCGACGAAATAGGCTTTATTCTAGCCTTTGATTTTACCCTCATAACATTTCATCAGATGAAGTGGCAATGAGCAGGCAGGAGGGCACATTACTTCAAATTAGTACGCAAAATTGACAGCCGGTGGAGACCACGTACCGAAAAACAACACCCACAAGGTGGAGCAACGACCTCATAAAGGTAGCAGAAAGGCGCTGGTTGCATGCCGCTAACAACCGGTCAATATGGAAATCATTGGGGGAGGACTATGTTCAGCAGCGGGCGTCTTGTGGCTGAAATGACGCTGATGAACGTTTCGACAAAAAAAATTATTAACCTTGGAGAAAAGTCGAACCTTACTTCTTCTGATTAATTTCGTTGCGGGTCTAATGACAGCTTAACTTTCCCCCGTTTAACTTGAACTTCACTGGTTGGGTTTTTATTGGCGGTCAAGCTGTAGATCCTGGCTACACAGGAGTTGCAGCGGTGGTTGCAGAGTTGCAGCGATGAACATTTGGTCCGCAGTTCGCGTTCCCGCTTCACCAGCGCGGGGTGCACGTCATCAACTGTTCGCGCATCTTCGAGACGCTGTTCCACGTGTTCCGCCGGTTCGCGCCGGCTGATGACCTGTGGAAACGCGTCCACTTCCACGGGTACGACTTGAGCTCGCTGCAGAGGTGAGTTGTTCATAAATACAGGGTGACTTTGTAGAAAGTATCCAATTTTTTAAATAAGCTCTATAGTTCCACCTGTTCCGCCGATTCGCGCCGGCCGACGACCTACGACTTGAGCTCGCTGCAGAGGTAATTTTTTCATAAATACCGGGTGATTGTAAATAGTATCCAATTTTTGTAATAAGCTCTATAGTTCCACGTGCTCCGCCGGTTCGCGCCAGCTGACGACCTGTGGAAGCGCGTCCACTTCCACGGGTACGACTTGAGCTCGCTGCAGAGGTGAGTTGTTCATAAATACAGGTTGACTTTGTAAATAGTGTCCAATTTTTTTAATAAGCTTTATAGTTCCACGTCTTCCGCCGGTTCACGCCGGTTGTTGGATACGTTGTGATAAAAGAAGTAAACAATTATACTGTTTTAGCCTAGGCTAGGGTTGCCAGGCGTCCGGTTTTGTTATAGGCTTTTTATTGGGCTGCCGCGCCAGGCGAAAGTCGAGCCACAGAATAATATGAAGCTCACGCATCAGGATGTGGTTTGCAACCGATGATGATAGTACTCACTCATGAGCTGACACTAATTGCACAGGGTAAAATGTCCGGCCAAATGAAGCACAAAGTCCGGCTTTTGTGATTTTGGACCTGGCAACCCTAGTTGCGATAAAAGAAGTAATTATTATTTATACTGTTTTAGCCTACGCGCAGACCACCGACTTATAAGTAGTTGGCCGATAGTTGGGTCTGGCTGTTAATCAGTATGAAAGTGCGCACATTAGGTAGGTACACCGATTTGATATCGGCCGATTCTTCATACAAATTAAAATAGGGCCCATCATCATCATCATGTCAGCCATAGGACGTCCACTGCTGAACATAGGCCTCCCCCAATGCTTTCCACGTTGATCGATTGGTAGCGGCCTGCGTCCAGCGCTTCCCTGCTACCTTTACGATGTCGTCGGTCCACCTTGTAGGTGGACGTCCCACGCTGCGCCTTCCGGTACGCGGCCTCCATTCCAGAACCTTGCTGCCCCATCGGCCGGCAGTTCTGCCGTCAGTGCCGTGTGGGGACGGCCGGAAAGAATACAATTCCTCACCTCCAACAGGAGGCGTGTCGTTAGAGGCGACAAAATCCGGTAGCGCGAGATGGGCAGCAGCGTCTGCGTGCGAAACATATAAAAAACTGCGCTCGCCAACCCGCCTGCCAAGCGTAGCGAGTACTGGCAATTCCCCCACAATGGAACACACAAAAGAAATAGGGCCCAACTATCGGCCAACTAAAAATCGGTGGTTTGTGCCTAGGCTTACTATTGGACTGAGACCGGTGGGCTGAGTGTGAGTTTCTAATAATGTATGAAATGTATGAAAATTTTAGTTTTTGATCATTTCCCGCTAGGGGCGCTATACAATCCGTCATACAATAAAGGTTATTTTTTGACGCGCTCACTAGTGAGCGCGTTTGATGAAAACTCACACTCAGCTCTCTGAAGCTCGAAAATCACTTTTCCGTGAAAATGCTCTTTCTTACAAAATGTTCAAATAATACAAAGGCGCCACAGCTAATGCCATCTAGCGAATATGTTAGAATACACAACTCAGCTTGCAACGCAACTGGCGCTTTCGGTAAAATAATGTTGACTGGTTACACCAATAGGTGTCAGCATTTCAGAACACTACTGACACTACTTTGTACCAAAAATATGAGGGTTCCGTAGAACCACCGTAATACTATCATAGTAGAACCACATGTAGAACAGCTAGAACCCTCACACTTAATGGGTTTTAGAATAAAAGACTGACAATTAAGTGGCTGACTTTCTTTCGCTGCTCTCAGCAGTGGCCTACCTTAGCCTTCCAATGACTTTGCCCACTTTTAGCTTAGTCCATGAGCCAAGTCGCTGAATTGATTTAATATTTTTTCTTCCAGCAACTGGGCCCACTTTCAATGATTTTAGAAATTAAACACCAAATCAACTTAAATCTGCTTAAGAATCTTAGAGTGGGTCCAGTTACTAGAAGAGAAAATATTTGAAAATTCAATCCAGCAGCTTGGCCCGTGGACCAAGCTTAAAGTGGGCCAAGTCACTGGAAGACTTTAGAAAGAAAGAAAGAAAAAATATTTATTTGGTACTAAATGATACACATTGACATTAAAAAGTAAAATAATACAATTGTTGTACCAAATTGGTCTCTGCTCAGTATGAGGCCATAACGTACTCGGGAGCACGTTACGGCCACTGGTATTCTGCAGAAACCATGAGAGAGGGGCACTTGGCCCACAGCGAATGTTACAACTCACAACATATTAAAATAAAGAAAGGAGAATAAGTAGGTGGGTACATTATTTGTGCTATTTTGCGCTATGGAGCATCTTATAGTGAATATAATGTATAGTAACAATAATAAATATGAGAGAAAAGATATAATTATGTGTTTATAATCATTTAGATATTTATACTATATACGTTTAGGTAGGTACTTTAGATATCCTTTTGTAGAGATAAAAGATGTAACTTTAACTTTACCTTGAAGGCTCTGACTGTGTTACTATTACGAATTGGTGGAGGAATGTTGTTCCAACATTTTGTTGCTAAGTACCTGAAGCTGCCACGAAAAGCAGCAGTCTTGTAAGGAGGACATATCAATCGATCTGTAATACGTGATTGGCGTTGCGTGAATTTCAATTTGTTAAACAAGTAGGGAGGACTTTCATAATTTATTACTCCAAAAAGAAGACTCGCGAAATGCATTACTCGTCGTGACTCCATGTTAAGAAGGTCACTTCTATTTAAATATGGCGTCACGTGTGCTCTGCGAGGGATCGAGAAACAATATCTAGCACAGGAGTTCTGGACGCGTTGAACAAGCTTCTTAGTCCGTCCTAGCAGGCAACCACCGATAACTGTATCCGCGTAATTTAATTTTGATAATATCAGAGTTTCACATAGGCGTACTCTCAATCCTTCACTCAAAAACTGTCTGACCTGATATAATACCTTCAAGCGATAATAACATTGTTTTACCGTATTAAGCACATGTGATTCAAAATGTAAATTACCGTCTATTTGCACACCTAGGTTTCGGGCTTCACTCACTTGTTCAATTTTGCTATTTTGTANCCTTCAAACGATAATAACATTGTTTTACCGTATTAAGCACATGTGATTCAAAATGTAAATTACCGTCTATTTGCACACCTAGGTTTCGGGCTTCACTCACTTGTTCAATTTTGCTATTTTGTAGTTTAATTTCAGGGTTGCATGATTCAATCATTTTAGTTTGTAATTTCGTACCTACAATAATAAATTTAGTTTTAGCCGGGTTCAAAACAAGGCCGTTTGAATCTGACCATCTCGCTATTCGTTCCAAGTCCTTATTAATGTGGTTTATGGATAAAACTGTTTCAGCGGGCTTAAATGTTAGATAGATTTGCATATCATCAGCAAACAGGTGATGTTTACAGTCTATAACACAGCTTGGCAAGTCGGCAGTATAAAGAATAAAAAGTATCGGTCCCAGGATAGAACCTTGCGGTACACCTTGGTGAATCACAGAATTAGCCGAGAGTGTTTTTGTACCATTAGGTAAACAGACCTCTACCCTCTGCGAGCGACCCAATAAATAACTAGAAAACCATTTTAGTGTTAAGTGATCAAAACCGTAGTAGATGAGTTTAGCCAAAAGTAAAGATGTATTTATAGTGTCGAATGCGCGAGAGTAATCAAGCAAGACTAACACC